ATTTCTTGATCATGGGTTCCTACCATTTTGCATGCAGAAGCATATATGCTCATATGTCTCATGGTATCTAAAATTTAATGTTCAGATATTCCATCTATATTCAAATTTACTAAAGTTCTTCCCGAATAGGAAGAAGTATTGGATATGAAGGCTTCTTCGAATTGGATATCAACAGGTGTTGGTCTTCTATGATATGGTACGGCTGTTCCAAGTTTCTAATTTTTGGAATATGCAATTCTTTGGATTTCATCTATATGTGGACTAGGTGTCATAGAATGATTAATTGCTTGTTCTCTATTTTCAATTGTATCATCCATAGATTCATCAAATTCTTCCTGAAGCATTAAGGTTTCATGTTCAGAAACCTTCTCTTTAGATTTATTTGTAATATCAAGTTTTGATAATTTTGATATTAATTGATCCATTAATGTTTTATTATCACCTCCGATAAGAAATTTTTCTTTATTTAACTGTAGAGGAGGTTTAAATAGTAACTGTTTTAGTACAGGAATGGATGGAGCTGGAGATAAAAGATTTTCAATTCGTACTGTTTGTTTGCCTATGGTTTGTAGGTAGAGATTCGTATAATTATTTTGTTCAATTATATGACAAAGTAAGTCAAATCTTGTAACATATGAAGAAGTTAATTTATATGGGGTTGCTGTTGTTTCATATACAACTATTTGGGTGGAAGTACTTGATTCATCTGTACCTTTTTCGGAGAGTTGTTTATTAACTCCTTTAATGGTTAGACTTTGTTCTGGAGGATGTATACAAGTAATTCTTTTGTCACTAGTAGTATTGAATTTTGTGAATTGAGATTCAAGAGTATTGACTTCAAAATCAGGTATTTCAATATTTTTATCTCTACATATATTTCTTAACCAATCAAAAAAACATATTGTTGTTTTCTCCTTTTTAATAAAATTATTAAACTTTTTATAGAATAATTCTACCAATCTAGGTTCAAAAGTATTAAGATACCAATGACGTATACTTGCATTTTTTTCAGATAAATACGAATTAGTAATATAACTTTTATCTGGTTTTCTTTCTTCTGTAAGGGTTAATATTTGAAATTCTTATTTATCAGGCTCATCTTGGGCCGGTTTATATTATATTTTTAAATGTTCTTAATAGTCCTTGAATTTGGGGTTCAGATTGTTGGATGTTTCTAGATGTAGGCCTTTGTGGGCTGTCATATATTGTGTCAGATTTTTTGGACGGTTCTAATTTCAAAGATTCATCCATTGGGCTATTATAAATTACTGAATCATCCTGATGAGAACGACTTAGGTGATTTGGAAGTTGTATTTCGATGTTTCCATTAATATGTTCAACAATCTTGTTAGGAATGTTTTGAACTGGAATTTATGATGGTTGGTTGTCATTGTGTATTAACCATGATTCTGGTAATCTTATATCAGACGAGGATATTGTTTTTGGAACTATAGTGTTGGATTTTTCTATATTAGTTTGGAATAATATAATTTGACCTCTTTATCTACTTGAAGAACATTAGGACATATAACTTTATAATAAATACGATAGACTATTGTAATATTTTGGAATCCTTGCATCATATCAAATCCTTGTGTTTTAAGATTTAAGGATAAAACATTTAATATATTAGAATCTGTTAAAGACACGGAATAATAAGGGAAACATCTAAAATATATTGGTCCACTACAAAGACTGGACTCCACCATTTCAAGTAATGAATCAGAAAACCTATTGTGTCTTGTATCTCTTAAGCATACAAGAAAAGAATTGTTAAGCCCTAATCTTGTTAATGATTTAATTGGCTATTTGTATTAACCCAATATGTAGATATTTATAATTTTTATTTTTATGTTCTTGTAATATTTTGTTTGATAAAAGTTGAAAGTCTTCCTGGTTACTAGTAACAGACAAAAGACTGTTCTACAGTCTTTATAGCATAACCTATTTTTATATTAAAGGTTCTTTTTTTATATATATTAGATAAAGGAACTTTTGATATATTCCAATTTTGTATTTAGTTTCAATATCATTTATAATTATTTCTTCTTTATTCTTAATCCTTAGAGTATTACTAGTTTGTCCAACAGCTTTATTAGTAAGAATTCTAATAAAATTTTCCTTTATTAGGTTGCGGATGAGTGTTATCTGGACAGTCCTCTTTGACTACCTCTTATGTCTGTTTCGACCTCAACGGCTTTCCTGGACTTAACGGTCTTTAGACTGGGTGTCTGAGCGTCTCTAACCTCAACTCTCGGACCAACTTTCTTTAATGGATAATTTTCTTAGATTTCCTATGATGAATGTGTTCTTAAAATTAGTGATTCTCTAAGGTAAGATAGTGAACAAATGTGAACAGGGTTGGCTTTGATACCATAAACGCGCCAAGATCTACCCTAAGTT